TAACATAAATCAGAAATAGGTTCTGACAAAAGTTTGCCGCGGGCAAATTGTAGATCTCCCGCGTTCCACCTCACATTATATATTACACCTAGAGACACACGGGCACACACACAAACATACACACACACTTTTTTTCGGGTTTGTATTGAGCTCTTTTGCTCGCGCTGGTGTTTGACAGCACGCTGGGCGGACACCTAAACAAGTTCAAAAACAGGGTAGATGCATCAAACAGTGATTGATGTAATTCCCAACAAAGGGGGGTTTTCTTTTTGCGATTCGATGGGTGCGCAGACCGCGGTCGTGCGCAGTTCAAACCTCGTTCTGCGTGTCGCCCGCGGTCAAGATCATCATGCTCCTCGTCAAGACGGGACGGGGCGCACCCTGCTTGCGTCTCACGCTGGCCAGTGCTGCTTGCAACGTTGAGGTGGGGCGAGTGCTCGCCGATCGTGTGTTGTTGTTGTTGTTGTTGTTGTGTGTGTGTGTGTATGTGTGTTTGTGTGTTTGTGTGTATGTGCGTATGTGTGTTTGTGTGTATGTAATGTGAGTGCTTGCTCTTGCGTGCTGCCTTCTGCTCACCCCAACATTGTTGATCCAGCATCTTGCATTCACTGCTGCTGCTGCCTTCTCAACCACCACACCAACCACTTGCTGTTCGTTACCCCCCCACACACACACACACATTCTCTCTCCTCTCTCCTTCTCTCTCGCCGCTCCCCACCTGTTTGTCTTCACAATCTCCCTTACAGCACACACAAGCGCACACTTGCACACTTGCACGCACACACACCTTCGCACACCCTCTTCCCAATTTCAATCCATACCAATCATCCTTGTTACCTTCATTTTCTTCATCACTCACCTCTTCCATTCAACCAAACTGCAGCGCACGCGCGCCGCCGCCGTTTTCGAACCTGCCAGAGTCAGCTCAATATCAACCCAGGTCACAACACTCGCGGATAACGACCTCACCACCACTGCAAGTTGCACCGTGTGCTGAGTTGGAGCACACACACGCTGGCACGCGTACCGCACACACACACACACACACACACACACACACACACCACAACAGCGGCGGCTGCAACGGCAATTAATGCCATAGCCAGTGCGATTTCAGCAGCAACAACCCATTCAACCACAAAACAACATCAGCAGCAGCGGTAGTTGCAGTCGGAAACGATGGCGCGTCGGGTGTGGGAGGTCTTTGCGGTCTCTCTGACGCTGCTTCTGCTGGGGCTGGTGGACCTTGGCTGCACACAGCAGAGCGTTGGGCAGGAACTGGAGCCGAACGACGGGCCGTGGTCTGCCACACCGCTGGCCAGCGGCCAGTTTCTGTACGCCGCCATCAGCTCATACGCAGACATTGACGTGTTTGTGATTCCAACCTGCGCCGCCGGGCAGGTGAGCGTCACCGTCATCAGCAGCCAAGACAGCGTACCACTGACCCTGAACATGCTCAACGGCACGGCTGATGTCGTGGGCACACATGTGAACCCAAAACCAGGCGTGCAGCGCATCGTGCACACGCTGTCACAAAACCGAACAAACACGTTCTTCGTCGCCATCCGGCCAGACACGCCGCAGACAACGACATCGCCTGCAAACGCCAGCTCCACCACACCAGCAGCCAACGCCACGACAACGACCGTTGTCCTGCAGCCCACCAATGTGACCACAGGTGTTACAACTGCAACGACTACGCCCACAACAGGCACCACTACACCAAGCACAACTACACCGGCTGCTTCATCAACATCAACCCTCCTGTCAAACACGACCAGAACAACAACAACAACAACAACAACAACAACAACAACAACAACAACAACAACAACAACAACAACAACAACAACAACAACAACAACAACAACAACAACAACAACAACAACAACAACAACAACAACAACAACAACAACAACAACAACGACGACGACAACAACAACAACAACAACAACAACCACAGTCATCTTGGCCAACTACACGATTCAAGTGGCAACGCCCACGTGCAGCGAAGACGAGCCAAACAACGTGTTCCAAACAGCGACCCCGCTGCCCGCTGGAGAAACGCGCCTCGGTGCCATCAGCACCTACGATGACGTGGACGGCTTCAGGCTGTCAACGTGTCCTGGCGGGCTGGTCACCATCACCGTGCAGCTTGACGGCGCCAGCGGTGACCTTGACCTCGCCCTGCTGAGTGAGGACGGGTTCATCATCGGCAGAAGCGAGACGTTGTCCCCTGTGGAGCAGATTCGCCTCGACAACCGCGGCAACACATCCGTCACCTTCTACGCTGCAGTGATCGGTTACGCCGGGGCGGTGGGCAGCTACGCTATCACCGCCACAGACACATGCTGTCACAGCCACGACGAGTGTGAGCCGTCCGCATTCTGCACCACCACGGCAACCTGCTTCGACTGCGGCGCATGCAACCTCCTGCGTACCCCGATTGACGGCGCTTGCCCTGGCAAGTGCAACAACGTCACCGTGATTCAGCTTGGGGCAACGGGGCTTGCAAGCATTGATGGGCACACGTGGCCAGACTCCGTGCTGGAGCTCTACCTCTTCAACAACAGCCTGAGCACCATCGACGGCCAGCAGTGGCCCCCGCGCCTCACCGTGCTTGTCCTGCACAACAACCAGCTGCGCTCTGTCGCCAACCAGCACTGGCCCGACACCCTCACCATCCTGTTTCTCAGCGCCAACCGACTCACAACCCTCGCCGGGCAGGTGTGGCCCGCTGCCCTGGAGGAGCTGTATGTCTTCGACAACCGCTTGGCGAGTGTGGGCAACCAGGCGTGGTCGCCGCGCATCAACACGCTTGACCTGGGCCAGAACAACATCACCACGTTGGAGAAGGTCGCCTGGCCGCCGGCGCTGCAGTTTCTCTACATAGAGGACAACGCCATCACCAGCGTGGACGGGCAGGTCCTGCCCCCGACGTTGCAGGAGCTCTTCCTGCACAACAACAGCATCACCAGCGTCGCTGGGCAGGCGTTCCCTGCGTCGCTGCGCCTGCTCTCCCTGCACAACAACAGCCTGACAAGCGTGGTTGAGGCGTGGCCGCCGGCGCTGGTGGGCCTGTCCCTCCACAGCAACCCGCAGCTGGTGAGCATTGCCGGGCAGCGGTTTCCCGACACGCTGCAGGAGCTGCACCTGCACCACATGGGCCTCACCAGCATCACGGGGCGCACGTGGCCACGCGATCTGGTCACGCTCACCCTCAACAACAACCACATCACCAACCTCGACGCGCAGGTGTTCTCGTCGCAGCTCACGCACATTGCCCTGTACAGCAATGCCATCACCAGCCTGGACACGACGCCGCCCCTCCGCTGGCCCGAGAACCTCCAGCAGCTGCTGTTGCACGACAACGCCATCACCAGCATCGACGCACAGCACTTTCCGGCCCCGCTGCGCGTGCTCAGCCTGCACAACAACGCGCTGACCCGGGCCAAGCAGCACTGGCCGCAGGGCTTGCTCAGGCTCTCGCTCAACAACAACAGCATCGCGTCAGTGGAGGGCACGGTGTGGCCGCCGCGCCTGGACACGCTTCTCCTCGACAACAACCGCCTGCACAGCATCGACGGCCAGCGCTGGCCTGATACCCTGGTAGAGCTTGCCCTGCACAACAACCAGATTAGCTCCATCACGGGCCAGGTCTGGAGCACGGCGCTGCACTCGCTCTCGCTGCGGAACAACAAGATCACCAGCATCGAGAATCAGCAGTGGCCGCCACAGCTGGAGTTTCTCTACCTCTTCGACAACCTCATCACAAGCATCGACAACCAGACGTGGGGTGACTCGCTCACGTCCATCTCGCTGCACAACAACCGCATCACGCGTGTGGAGCACCAGCAGTTCCCGCCGCGCCTGCAGTGGCTCTCCCTCGACGGCAACCAAATCCGCAGCATCGACAAGCAAACGTGGCCGCCGCTGATGCAGTGGCTGCGGCTGGGCCGCAATCGCATCACCAGCGTCGACAACCAGCGCTGGCCCGTGACCTTGTCTGAGCTGTACCTGGACAGCAACGACATTGCAAGCATCGACGGGCAGGTGTGGCCGCCGCAGCTGGAGGAACTGTACCTCAGGAACAACAGGATCACCAGCATTCAGGACCAGCAGTGGCCTGAGACCCTCACGCTGCTGTACCTGTACAACAACCGCCTGCGCTCGCTCAAGGGCCAGCGCTGGCCGGTCGCGCTCACCAAGCTCTACCTGCACGGCAACCAGATCAGGACTGTGGCTGGGCAGCAGTTTCCACCGGGCCTGCGCGAGCTGTACCTCAACGACAACCTCATCACGGGCGTGGGCGGGCTTGCACTCCCGCCGCAGCTGTACGAGCTTCGCCTCAACGGCAACCGCATTCAAGGGCTCGCAGCGCCGCTGGCATGGCCACCGACGCTGGGCATCCTACGCCTGGACGACAACCTCATCACCAGCGTGGACGGGCAAACGTTTCCGTCGACCCTGACGCTGCTTCGCCTCAACGGCAACAGCCTCACCACCATCGCCGGGCAGCAGTGGCCCCGAAGCCTGGCCATCCTCTCCCTCAACCATAACGCCATTACGCAGGTGACCAACCAGACGTGGCCGCGTGCGCTCACCGACCTTCGGCTCGACCACAACCAGATTGCCGACATTGAGCAGCTGCCGCCCGCACTCACGTCTCTCGATGCGTCCTTCAACCGCCTCGGCTCTGCTGCCAGCGTGGCGTGGCCGGTGACGCTTGTGTCGCTTGCGCTCGCCTCCAACCAGATCAACACCATGCCCCACCACGCTGGCGTGTGGCCGCCACGCCTGACGTCCCTCAACCTCGACAACAACCCCTTTGAGAGCATCTTCAACGAACTTCTTGAGCGCCGCGCGGGCGACCCGCTGCCGCGGCTGACACAGTACCTGCCCTGCACCCTGCAGTCGTTCAGCGCACAGCAGCCCATCCACCCGTGGCAGTGCACCGTGGAGCGAGTGAACGTGACGGCGCAAACAGACCTGAGCAAGCTGGCGTGCGCCAACGCATCCCTCCTTCGGCCGGGGGACACGGCGTACGTGTGGACGTGTGAGCTGACGCAGAACGGGGAAGCGCGCGTGCAGTCATCCGATGCCTTCCGCGCCAAAACGTTCAATGATGCGGACGCGGCGTACGTCCCGTTTTACATTGCCGTCTTCCCCGTGTGCTTTGTGGTGTGCGCGGTGCTGTGGTATGCGCGGCGGCAGAAGCGAAGGCAGGCGTTCCTGTGGGTGCTGCTCTTCTTCTCTGCCGTCGACCTGGGCAGTGACTGGGCGTTTTACGCCATTGAAATCACCAGCCGCAACTTCCGCGAGGCGTACGCCTGCACGCCGTCGGAGCCCGTGCAGGTGTGCAGCTCTGACGGTGCTGTCCTCGACTGCGGCAGCTTTGGCGACCTGCACAACCCGTGCCGCGACCACCTCAACGCGCTCCCCGGTGCCATTAACGAGTGCGAGTGCCATGGGCTCAAGTGCAACTCGGACTTTTCCATCGAGGACGTGTGCGCGCCGCTGGTGGCCAACCACGACACGACCACGTTCAGCGACCTCAGCTGCACGGGCTACAGCGCACTCGATGACTACGTGAACGCGACGTGCGGTTTCCTGCACGAGACGCGACCAAACGCCAACGGCACGAGCGAGTGTGAGTGTTACGGGTACACGTGCATGCCCCTGGCGGGCAGCGGGACCCGGTGCAAGGGGTGGTATGGGGGCAACTACGCGGCCCTGCGCTGGGTGTGCTTCGTCTCATGCTGCGTTGGGTCGGTGCTGTGGGGGCTGACGTCTGCGATTAAGCTGTCCTCCTCTGTCCAGGACCAGCTGGCGCGCGGTTGTCGCCACCCCGAAGACAGCGGCGAAGACGGCGATGAAAACGGTGATGCTGGTGGTGATGCTGGTGGTGGTAGTGGTGGTGGTACTACTGATGATGATGATGATGGTGATGACGACGATGATGGTGGTGATGGTGGTACTGTTGGTGGTGATGGTGGCACTGTTGGTGGTGAGGGTGAGGTGAGTGAAGAAGTGAACGAGGCGCGGGCGCGGCTTGCGGTACGGTTGGCGGTGACTGCCCTGCTGCTTGAGGACCTGGTCCAGTTCAGCATCCAGCTCATCTACATCAGTGTCCTTGATGTGATTGAGAACGCGCTGGTGTTTGTGTCCATGATTGCCACGGTGGTGAGCGTGTTCCTGACTGTCCTCTTCCTCGCCAACCGCTACAGCACGTACCTGCGCCACCACGGCACGCTTGTTGGCAAGGCCACGGCGTATGTGTTTACGCTTGGCGGCGCAATTCCGCGGGCTGCGGAGCGCAGGCAGGCATGGCTTGCAGAGAAGAAGCGACAGGCAAGCTACCGGATGTGGCTGCAGAACAAGCAGCGACAGCAAGACCACCACGGCAAGCCAGCGCTGTCACACGCGGCACCAATGCTGACAGTGGTCAACGGCACTGGAAAGGACAAGACTCGTGAGCTCAAATCGTCACTGCAGCTCACACGTGCATTGGAGAGCGCCGTGCCCGGGTCCCCGGCCTACGGGTTTGGTGATGACGGTGGTGAGAATGGGAAGTTGGGCAAGAAGGATGAAGAGGATGCCGAGAGCGAGGGCGGCATGGGCGAGTGCTGTGAAGACACGGTTGAGATGTGCTTTGGTGTCATTGCCACGTGTCTTGTTGGCGCTGAACTTGGTGGCATGTGAGAACTTGATGGCATGCGGCGGGTGGTTGTAGTTGTAGTTGCAGCGAAACTCGAGGCTGTCGTTAAAGGTAGGTTTTTTTTTTTTTTTTTTGACGTGAGGGTTGTACGACACAGCTGTTTGTCATCAGTTCCATAAAAGGAAAGCAGGTGTGATTGTGGGCAACCCCTTTTTTATTTTTTGTTTTCTTCTGTGTTCCTTCGATAATACGCAGACAGTGAAGTGCAAAAGCAGGACGACACCAGACCGCGTATCCTTTACCATCTTCTTGAGCTTTGAAATGATATGACCCTGAAAGCCCCCCCCCCCTCACACAGACACACACAACCCAGTCACCTTGCGTCTGGGCTCGAAAATGGTGTATTGTAACACGCTGAAAAGCAGGAGAACGTCATCGTGTACCCAACACACACGCACACGCACGTAACCCGCCCACAATCTAGTGGTGTTTGTGCACGACGCCACGGCGAATGGTGATGGGAGTGCGGCGGCGCTCCGCCAGCAGCTGAGCCGGAGACAGTCCATCGCACCTGACACCATGCGAGGTGGGGCGAGAGCGAGTGAGCGTGTGCGTGCGTGCGTGCGTGCGTGTGTGTGTGCGTGTGCGTGTGCGTGCGCGTGTGTGCGTGTGCAAGTAAGTGGGTGAGCGTGTGAGTGTGCACATGTGTGTGCGTGTGCCCAAGAGACGTCGAGATGGGTTGACTACACTGGCATGTGAAGCGACGCAGAATCATGCTGCCGAACAGCACCTGCAGAGGCGGGGGCAGTCGGTGTCGTCGACGGTCGAATGTTCACAGACTTGCAAGCAGTAAGCGTCGCACTGGTGTGTTGGCTGCCATGGATCCACGTCCACCTTATTGGCAGGCACAGCTTTGTCCCGGATATACCTGTGCGAGACGGGACGTAGTTGGCGAGCAGCACAGCGCATTTGCGTGCGCTCACAGCACGTGAGCAACACAGGTGACAACAACAACAACAACAACAACAACAACAACAACAACAACAACAACAACAACAACAACAACAACAACAACAACAACAACAACAACAACAACAACAACAACAACAACACCAACGAACAGACAGGGCCACAGGGATGCAGGTTGACAGACATGCCGGACATCCATCCAAGAATAATCGCCCAAGCAGCAACAGCAGCAACAGCAACGAGAGCAGCAGCAGCATCGACTCAAACTCCACGACACCCTGATCACGAAACGCACCAGAACTCGTCGGTCCCGTTGCGCCCCTCTGCAAGAAACTGCGTCCAGTGAAGGTGGGTGCTGTTGACGATGTGCAAGTGGCCGTAGCCGTACGAAGCAGAACGGACAAGGCTCCATGGCCCGTGATGCAGCTCGTCGTAGTAGTCGAGGTCTTCATCGCACCCACCCGCCCCAGAGACTAGAGCGCACACACGCGCACGGGATCGTGGTCAGCGAGCAGACGACGACAGGAAACGCCACCGTGCAACAGCCAGGGATGGGAACACAGAGCAGAACAACAACAACAACAACAACAACAACAACAACAACAACAACAACAACAACAACAACAACAACAACAACAACAACAACAACAACAACACCAACGAACAGACAGGGCCACAGGGATGCAGGTTGACAGACATGCCGGACATCCATCCAAGAATAATCGCCCAAGCAGCAACAGCAGCAACAGCAACGAGAGCAGCAGCAGCATCGACTCAAACTCCACGACACCCTGATCACGAAACGCACCAGAACTCGTCGGTCCCGTTGCGCCCCTCTGCAAGAAACTGCGTCCAGTGAAGGTGGGTGCTGTTGACGATGTGCAAGTGGCCGTAGCCGTACGAAGCAGAACGGACAAGGCTCCATGGCCCGTGATGCAGCTCGTCGTAGTAGTCGAGGTCTTCATCGCACCCACCCGCCCCAGAGACTAGAGCGCACACACGCGCACGGGATCGTGGTCAGCGAGCAGACGACGACAGGAAACGCCACCGTGCAACAGCCAGGGATGGGAACACAAGAGCAGAAGGCACACAGTCACACAGGTGCTCAAACACGCAAACAAGCGGCAGGTAATGTAGGGGTCCCACACGCACCGATATGTGTCGGGTATTGCGGGTTGTGGTACACGTGAGGATTTGTCTGTGTCGGATCAACGGTGGAGTTGTACACCGGCCACGTCTGGAGCACGAAATGGTGCACACCGAGGATGTGCGTGTGTGTGTGTGTGTGTGTGTGTGTGTGTGTGTGTGTGTGTGTGTGTGTGTGTGTGTGTGTGCGTGTGTGTGTGTGCGTGTGCGTGTGTGTGTGTGTGTGTGTGTGTGTGTGTGTGTGTGTGTGTGCGCGTGTGTGTGTGTGTGCGTGTGTGTGTGTGTGTGTGTGTGTGTGTGCATGTGAGACGGAGAGAAGAAATGTAACGTGATAGGCTGAGATACAGGCGCACAGCGCCCGCCAGGGTTCACGGCAGGGAACAGAGCAGCGTTGCCACTCGCGCGAGTGTGTGAGCATGCTTGTGAGTTGGGGCTGGGGTGTAAGCGCTCTCGCGCGCGCGCGCGCGCGTGTGTGTGTGTGTATGCGTGTGCGTGTGCGTGCGTGCTGCCGCGGTCTTCAGAAGCGCTTACGCGTTCGTAAGAATGCTCGTGGGCAACGAGCACAAGGTTCACGTTGTACTTGTACATGAACGCGTCCAGCCCTGCAGAGAGTGGGAGGCGTAGAGCCAGAGGGTGGAAGGGCTGAGGAGTGGGGCTTGCACATACGATACGGAGCCGCCATGTAAACGCCACAGTCACGCATGGTGCCGGGAAAGAATGCCTCTATGCCCAGCCACGCAGGGCGAACGCACAAGGACAGACAAACCACATGCAAACACACAGCGCCTCAAATAACCACAATCACAAACAGAGAGAGAGACACACACACACACACGCAGACACGCACACACACACACACATACACACACAGGGTCGCGCACCTGGGTAAAACTGCCCCTGGTGTGTGAAGCCTTCGCGAATGTGCTGTGTATCAAGGGAGCAATCTGGCAGGTCGTCTGTGTTGCTGTAGCGCCAAGCGAACCAATACACAACACGCAAATACACACGCACACACGCACAGACACACACACACACACACGCACAGACACACACACACACACACACAAGACATGTGTGGGGTGAGTCATTTCATGTCGCAGGAAATGGCGCGGCAATATCCCTGCAGCTGCTCCACACCAAAAGTAAAGGCAACGCGGGTTGGCAACCAATGCAACAAGGGGCGTGTCGCTGTACCTGCAGTAGAGTGGACGGTGTAGATACACGACAACAAACGGCGTTTTGGACCGGTCGACACGCTGCAAGTCACGCTCCAACCACTGCAGCTGCTCCGTGATTTTCCTGCGAGCGTGTAATGCGAGCGTGCAACGCAGAGAGCAGAATAGAAGGGTGACCACACACTGAAGAAGTGAAGCACGCAGACATGCAACGCACGCTCGATAAGCCCACCCCCTCTCTGTCATGCCCCACACATCTAGACATACACACATAAGCACGCCATCTCTCTGTCATGTCCCACACACCTAGACATACACACAGACACACAGACAGACACACACACACACACACAAAGCACGAGGCAACACGTACGGGTAAAGGTAGAAGTTGTAGTAAATCTCAGAGGAGAGGGCGACAAAGTGAACGACGGACACGTCCCAGGAGAACCACCAGTTGTTGCCGGAGGTGGTGGTCTGGGCAATGGCAGCAAAACGTTCCGTGTAGTGGGAGAAGTTGTACGCCGTTTCGTGGTTCCCGAGACAAGTCATGTATGGCACGTGGCCAGCAAGCGGCTCAATCATGTTCATAAACGCGTCACCTCGCTTGCCCTCGTCCGTGTCCATGTTGTACGCAAAGTCTACCGCATTGTGTTCGTGAGTGTGTGAGCGCACGTGTGTGAACGTGTGTGCATTCGCGTGTGTGGGAGTGTGCGAGTGCACGTGGTTTGAGTGAACCTTAACGCCGAGCGTGTCACCAGCACGGTTCCCGAGCGTTTTCCCCGACCAGCCAGGAAACCCCCACATTGAATGCAAGGCAGCGAGCAGAGACAACAACACACTCGCTGCTCTGCTTTTGCTTCAACCTACCCCTCACCACTGCACACATCCACACGCAGCACCTGTGGTTTCTTACCGCCAACGTGGAGGATCAGGTCATAGCCACCCTCAGCAAGGTCCTGCTGCAAGGGCTTCAAGGAGCGCGCGTTGATCACACCCATGTCCCCGTACACCGCAAGTGTGAGTTCAGGGTCATCTCGCGCCCAGGTGGTGAAGTTCAGCACCGGGCTCCACACAGCATCGCCGTCTCCCACCTGCCATCAATAAAGTGACCAAGAGAGAGAGAGTGTGTGTGTGTGAGGCAGGTACGCAATCTCAGCGTCGTAAGTCATGCATGCCAGCACCGAAAGGCAAGCGAGGACAAGAGAGAAGGAGAGGGAGAGAAACGTTTCAGGACACACAGACACACAGACACACAGACACACAGACACACGCACGCACGCACGCACGCACCTTGTAAAAGTAGCGAGTTGCAAAGTCGAGATTGGAAAGAACACACTCGTGCAAATAGATGGTGCGATGCGTCAAGCCACCGTCCGTGAACGGTCGGTTGGTGCAATTGACACGCCGAGTGAGCTGGGACGGGCTCGCGCCAAAGGTAGTCACTGAACGGTCAGTGGACTCCAGTGTCACGTACGACACGGTGCGCTGACTCAAGTCATTCGTCAATGCAAGGTGAAGTTGTTGTGGCTGTGTTCCGCTCCCTTGCGTGGCCACAGGCGCAGCACTCGCCACACCATCACGACCACCCGCAGTCGCCACCACAATCACCGCCACCACAGTCACCAGCACCACTCGCACTGCCATTGTCGTGGTGTTGTTTTGCTGTGTTGTTGTTTATTTATGTTTGCGGTGGGATGAAGGACGCTGCGGATATTGGCCTATTTACAGGCCAATCACAGGGAGCGCCAAAACTTCAAACAGCAACGCGCGCACAACTCAGACCAAGATGAATGAGCAGGAGACGACGGGGGTGGAAGCAGGTGCTCGGGGCGGCAGGGCGAGTGCGGTGGAGCAAGTTGGCGAGTACGAGAACATATTTGCAGAGCCGCTCATGGAAGAAGAAGAAGAAGAAGAAAAAGAAGAAGAAGAAGAAGAAGAAGAAGAAGAAGAAGAGGCGGCGTCAACACAGCAACAAGCCAAAGAAGGCAGTGAAGAAGCCACGACCAGCAGCAATCCTCGCAGCAGCTCGCTTGCGCGCCAATCCACCTCATCATCACCGCTGTCGTCACAGGGGACACCACCGTCCTTGTTGGATGAAACGCCACCGCCACACAAGCGTGCAAAGCGTGTTCAGTCTCAGATCAGCCAGTTCTTCTTTGTCAAGCATGGCGCGGGCACGCAGCGGCGCCTTGTATCTCCGTCATCGCCCAGTGCCCCAGCGAGTCCGCTGTCGACAACAGCTGCTACGAGTTCAGCGGCCCGCGCAGGAGCAGCATCCAAGAAGCAGAGCAAAGGCCCTCGCAAGTCACGCCAGATGTACATGGTTCGTGGGCCATTTGGGTTTATGAGGCTTTGCGTTGTCTTCGCATGCTCCGAGTGGCGTTTGCTGTGAGCGATGTGGGTTGGTTTGCTGTTGCTCCTGCGGTCGGCACTCACTGTTTTCTGTTGTTTTGCTGCTGTGAGGTTGCGACCACGCGCTATTGCTCATGTGATGTGTATGGGTGTTTGGGCTTGTCATTGGTGTTGCAGGATCTGGGGCAGCGGAGCACACA